CGATATGTTTTTGGATTATTGTTCATGCTATGACTAACACATTCTCTTTATATCCTCCAGGTTGGACTACCATATATTATACAGAAGCAGGTACAAGGTTCAACAATATAACTTAATTTAATCAACAGTTTGGCCTTGTTAAACCTCAGTCTTAAACTGTTTCAGTTCCGCTTTCTTTATAAATACAACTGTTTTATCCACCTGTGAAGTTGAGGCCATTACCACTTCTGTCAATAGGGAACAATAACCTAAACACCCTGTGTGTTCCAGCTCAACCATCATGCCGCTACAACTGTGGAATCGACCTTGGAAGCTGTTCCTGCTACAGCTCCTGCCAATACTATGGAAACTGTTGTGATGACTTCTACTGTAAGTGCAACCTGAACAGATTCTTTGCTGATATTGTTCATTAAAGCTCTCAATAAACACTGCTGTGAAATTATAGTAAGAACTCTTTTTATCTCCGTCTTATGCAGCGTACTGTGATTACGGCACCGACTATCCTACCACACGTAAGACCATCTTCTCAGTGCTTTTAATAGAAGAACATTGATTAATTTCTCAGATCTTTATTCATAGCAATAATCTTATTTTGTAAATACAAACAAAAGAGACACCTTTATAGTCATGGTTGGATGTTGGATTTTTTTTTTTTTTTTGGGATGCATACATAGCCTAATTAATATAGTATGTTAACCTAGAGCAATATGCACGGTATAGTTGTTACATGTCAGATACGCTGTCATTGACATTGACCAAAGCACCTTACAGTAGAACTGTAGTCAGTCCCTGGACTGGCATGGCTATCACTGCCCCCACATAGTTAGGGCCAAATGCAGGGGAAGAATTTTCCCACTGGGATCAGCTTCACATTAATGGTAGGTTACTTCTTTGAGCTAATGTTATTTGCTCAGGCTACTCATAATCCCACAGCCCACGAAATGTTATAGCCATTACGGTTAATATGTATAGTAGAACTTTTTCACATTCAGTAATAAAATGTTGCAGGGGTTTGTATGGGTGGATGGTCATTTAAGAAGGGGAGTGATTTTTAAGATTTTTAAGATTTATTTTTAAGAAGGGGGATGGCATCCCACCTCAACTCGAGTACTCTTCATAGTACCTTGGGAAAATACCTTGGAAAAATGCTTTGGCTCTTGGACTCCTGGATCAAGGAAAGTAATGCATAATTGTGTTTAATGTTTACAAAATGTAAGATAAATATATGGTCCAGCTTTAGGTATATGAAAACATTTGTTTTCATCTCTCATTTCATTTTATTGTACAAAACTTGCATCACTAGCTATCGTGAGATGTCTCTAATTACTAAACAGGGTCCACCTCTATTTTAAAGAGATTATTTATTCCAGCCTGTCTTTGAAAGCTTCAGTTATGTGTTTGATGACAATTAGAGAACTACAGTATCTTGAAGGTCGGTAACACACACTGAGATAAGGACACATAGAAGACTAAGGCAGGATTAGATTATAATACAATTAAGCACTCACCATTTAAACTATTGCAAGCACAACAGTATGGCAAAATGCTCCTTATGACATGGTAACCCACCGGATTTAACAGCCCTTTCTCAGAGAATTAAGCTAGAAGAGCTTCGGACGAGCTGGAGCCCTGAGAATCTTTTGCCAGGACATCCATTTGTTCACCAAACAGTTCTTAACGGTAGCTAAAGTAAGGGCAATATGAAAAACACGTAAAATTTGGGATAATGGCAAAGCGAAAAATGTAGCAGGAGCTACAAAATAATTGTTTGGAATGTATTTCGAGTTAGAATGAGCAGACCTCAGTCCAAGAAAAAAAAATTGGAAACTCTTGAGAAATAATGTTTAGAGAGGGTCTCCTTTTAGTCTGACAAAACTGTAGATGTAACAAAGAGGACTGGCTAAAACTTAAGTCTCTACATGAAGAAAGGTTTTAGACATACCCCAAAAAACTGCAGCTGCTTCTGTAGTAATATAAACACATTTCACACTTTCTTTTCTTTTGCTTCTTTTTTCAGAAATGAGACAATATTATACACTGCTTGGTCTTTTTTTTAAATAATATATAGTTACAGTGAAACACATTTTTTGGGAGTTCGCAGGATTCTACTTATGCAAAACAGCTAGAATAGCCAATAGAACACACATAGATGAATAAAGTGATTATTCTGTTCTGTGTCATAGCTCAACCTTCCTGTCTTGACAACTGTGGCAATGATATGGGAAGCTGCTCCTGCTCCTACTCATGTCAATGGGATGGAAACTGCTGTTATGACTACAACTGTGAGTACAAAATATTGACCATCAACTGTTTCTGCATCAATATCTAATAACTTGTTAATGAGATATATCATAATGTAAACATCCCTCCCTTTATGCTCTGATTAATGCAGCTTACTGTGGAGTAATTGTTGACACCTCTGAGCAGCCCACCATGGGTATGATGTTATTCTTTGTTTAAATCTAACTTTTAATGAAAACATGTATCTCATTATGTATACATTTATTATAAAGGGATACAATAAAGATGATATGATGATTAAAAAATGTAATATGGTGTAAATATGTAATATGCAGTAAACATGTATCCAAAAGGGTAAAATGTTGCTTATTTTGAAAAGGTCTCCATTATGCAGGTTAATAAAGTGTTGTTTTCATTGTTATTGTTTTCACTAGTATCCTGTGGCGGGTACCTGTATGGCAGCAGTGGCAATTTTGAAAGTCCCAACTATCCAAACAACTACCAAAACAACCTAGACTGTACATGGTACATTAGACCTGGCAATCAGTTTATTCGTTTGGAGATTTTTAATCTAGTGTAAGTGAATGTCCTGAATATTAAATATGTACAACTTCTTTAACTGGATGTTCAGTAGTTTTAATTTTCTATATTGCCTTTTTGTTTCAGCACTGAGTGTCATTGGGATTGGGTTGATGTTCATGATGGCTACAATACCAACAGCAGGAGGGTGTTGCAACTCTGCAACTCATATGAAACGTCATACGATGTCTATCACTCCACTGGCTCCTATGTAACAGTGCATTTCAGAACTGATGGCAGTATTACCAAAAAAGGATTTTATGCCAGCTACACAATTGTTGGTAAGATATTGTGGCTTTGGTCAATCTTTGCAAAATGGCAGATGTTGCCAATTCAACAACATTTTCTGGCTTTGCTGCTGAAGGTGAAAGCTCCTGCCAGTATAACTGTGGTTACCAGGCTGGAAACTGTTCCTGCCACTCAGGATGTGAATACAGTGGGACCTGCTGTGATGATTACACAAGTAAGCAGTGATGTGATGTCACAGATTACAGTCCTTATTTTGATCAACTTGTCCTGTCTGGCAATTTGCTTACAGTAGTTCAAAGTTCAAAAGAGAAGCCTATGAGTGTATCATTGTAGTTGTAACCATAGTGCTTCACTTAATATCTGTATCTTTGCAAAAACATTATAGGTGATAAGAACAGAAGAGAAACAACATAAAAAAAAAAAATACTTGTGAAAAACTATACTCTGAAAAAACTATTGGTTTACAACTAATCGGAATTAGACCAATTAATAGATATTCTTAGCAGTACGGCTATCGCCATAGTGTTGTGCTTGTTTCATGCATATAAATTGCTTTATTATAATTATGCAGGGAGTTTTACAGATTATATGGACACTGCAAGGTAAGTAGAACAGAAGAGGAAAAACAGAAAGAAAAGGAGAAAAGATGAAAGAAAGAGGAGATAAAAGGGAGATAATGATAAAACATTAACAACAACAATTAATAGATATTCCAAAACCATCAGAAGGATAAACATGTATTTCAGTCTGTAGAATCTTGGATCCTGCTTTTAGTTACAGGTTATAGAATTCAACAGTATCTGTATCGCCCTGTTATTACAGCTTTGTGGATAAAACTCAAAAAGAGATGCTGCATAACTGGAGTAAATGTCTGAAATTTAACTCTGTCATTCCTATGTCTGTTTCAGCTTACTGTAATACTCCAAGCGAGCAACCAGGAACCAGCCCTTATACAGAAATTACCTCAACAGCAGGTTTGATGAATAATTTCAATTTTTTTTCCCACCACTGTAGGGATAACTGGTGTAGGACATGATAATTCTCATGACAAACAGTGAAATTTTTAAAAGTTTATTGTCACAACTGGTGTAGATGGAATGGGGAAACTATGTGTTAGGTTACTCCCAACAAAATAAAGAAATTAGATTTTGTTGTTATTTTTATTTTGAAGATTTGGGAAAAAAAATAAGAAAGTAGTGATTTTATGAGATGAGTCAAGGCTTTGAGGCATGTGTTGAGTAGTGGAGGGGGAATTTCTGCAAAGACCATATGGAGGCTTGCTTTACTTAGGGAAAGGGCCAAAATCGATGACGTCCAAAGCCTTTAAATACTAATTTGTTGAGTTAATATTTTTTTTGTTTAAATTTACATTAAACACCATCAGGAAAGAAGCATATTCAGTTCTTTAAGTCTGTAAAGACTTGAACTCAGATCCATCCATCCATCCATCCATCCATCCATCCATCCATCCATCCATCAAAGGTCTTACTTGTCCTATCTGAGGTTACACTAAATTATCCAACAATAAGAAATAGCCTGGACAAAGGGCCTTCTGATATTTGCTTGGAACATTCTGGGGCAAATATCTAGCTTGAGCAATTTGAAAAGGAATTAAAGTTATGTAGTGATAATAATTGTCTATTGAAGGACTGAAGAACTTTTTAATTCTAATGTGTTTGGTTAAGCCCATTTATAAAAATTCTCAATTTTAACTTAACGCCTTTAGGAAGAAGCACATTCAGTTTGTTTCAGTCAGTGAAGACATGAACTATGATCATGCTGTTAGTGAGGTTAGAGGTCAAAGTGTGAATCAGTGCCTGTATCTCCCTGTTATTACAGCTTGGTGGTTACAGCTCAAAAAGAGATGTTGCATAACTGGAGTAAATGACTGTGAAATGTAACTCTGTCATCCCTACTTGTGTTTTAGCTTATTCTGATTTCACCGGTGAACAACCAGAAACCATCCAAACTTGGAGCCAAACCTATCCAGAAATGACAGCAACATCAGGTTTGACAATTATCTCTGTTTTATTCCCGCTTCACCAGAAAAGAGCACAGATACTGTCTGATTCTGGAATTAAATTCCTAACTGTAATATGGTGGTTAAATTAAATCAGTAACAAGATTATTTCAAAACATGACATGTTGCAACTTGGTGGTTACAGCTCAAAAAGAGATACTGCTTAACTGGAGTAAATGACTGTGAAATGTAACTCTGTGATCCCTACTTGTGTTTCAGCTTATCCTGATAACACCAGTGAAGAACCATTAACCAGCCATTATCCAGAAATGACAGCAACATCAGGTTTGACAATTATCTCTGTTTTATTCCCGCCACCCCACAGAAGAGCACAGATACATTCTGATTCTGTAATTATATTCCTGCAGTTGGATCCTAGTAGTGAAGCACTTCAGTCAGGTTCAGTTTAATAGTCAAATTTATTTTCAAAAATTGTCTTTAAATATATATTGTGGAGAATCACAACGCATTCTAGGATCAGGAGGATTACGGCTGTAATAACTAATGGAATTAACCATAACTATAGAAATTATCTTCAGCTAATATGGTGGTTAAATTAAATCACTAACTAGATTATTTCAAAACATGACATCTGCTGAAAGAGAATCCCATTCTAACTAGTAAAGAAGCCAAAACCGTACCAACAATATAAACATTTTCACCTGGGTTTGCAAAACTTCTGTAAATATTGTCTATCCAAGAATCTTTAAATGGCATAGTTTTAGCTTCACCTGGTTAACTTAATAAAAAAAAGTCCCATTAAACACCTTTTGCTATGTGATTGTTAAGTCTTTAATTGTCGTCAACAAAGCAAAATAAGTGTTAGTATCTATACATACCTGTATAAATGGGAAAAATAATGGAACTGCAATAATTAAGCATTGGATTTAGTATCTTTAATGTCCATCCATCCGTCCGTCCGTCCGTCCGTCCGTCCGTCCGTCCATCCATCCATCCATCCATCCATCAAAGGTCTTACTTGTCCTATCTGAGGTTAAACTAAATCATCCAACAACAAGAAATAGCCTGGACAAAGGGTCTTCTCATATTTGCTTGGAACATTCTGGGGCAAATATCTAGCTTGAGCAATTGAAAAGGAATCAAAGTTATGTAGTGATAATATTTGTCTCTTGAAGGACTGAAGAACTTTTTAATTCTAATGTGTTTGGTTAAGCCCATTTATAAAAATTCTCAATTTTAACTTAACGCCTTTAGGAAGAAGCACATTCAGTTTATTTCAGTCAGTGAAGACATGAACTATGATCCAAACTTTACCAAAATTGTGAGCATTTTATTCTATCTTGGATTAAAAATGTTTTGCATATATCGTCTATTCATTAATCTCCATGTGTCATATGCTTAACTGTCATTTAAAAAAACGCTCCTATTAAACACCATTTGCTATCTGATTGTTAAGCCGTTAATAGTTGTCGAAAAAAAGCAACATAATTGTGTGTATCTATACATACCTGTATAAATGGGACTATATTAATGAATCTGCAATAATATTAGCATTGAATCCATCCATCCATCCATCCATCCATCCATCCATCCATCCATCCATCCATCCATCCATCCATCCATCCATCAAAGGTCTTACTTGTCCCATCTCAGGTTACACTAAATCATCCAACAATAAGAAATAGCCTGGACAAAGGGCCTTCTCATATTTGCTTGGAACATTCTGGGGCAAATATCTAGCTTGAGCAATTTGAAAAGGAATCTAAATTTTGTAGTTATAACATTTGTCTTTTGAAGAAAGAAATATAAAAGGATAACTATTTTTTTTAGAACTAATGTGTTGAGTTAAGCCAATTTATCCAATTCTACATTTAAAATCAACACCATTAGGAAAGTTGCAGTTAATTTTATCCAATCAGTGAAGACATGAACTATGATCCTGCTGTTAGTGAGGCTACAGGTCAAAGTGTGAATCAGTGCCTGTATCTCCCTGTTATTACAGCTCGGTGGATACAGCTCAAAAAGAGATTCTGCATAACTGGAGTAAATGTCTGTGAAATGTAACTCTGTCATCCCTACTTGTGTTTTAGCTTATTCTGATTTCACCGGTGAACAACCAGAAACCATCCAAACTTGGAGCCAAACCTATCCAGAAATGACAGCAACATCAGGTTTGACAATTATCTCTGTTTTATTCCCGCTTCACCAGAAAAGAGCACAGATACTGTCTGATTCTGGAATTAAATTCCTAACTGTAATATGGTGGTTAAATTAAATCAGTAACAAGATTATTTCAAAACATGACATGTTGCAACTTGGTGGTTACAGCTCAAAAAGAGTTACTGCTTAACTGGAGTAAATGACTGTGAAATGTAACTCTGTGATCCCTACTTGTGTTTCAGCTTATCCTGATAACACCAGTGAAGAACCATTAACCAGCCATTATCCAGAAATGACAGCAACATCAGGTTTGACAATTATCTCTGTTTTATTCCCGCCACCCCACAGAAGAGCACAGATACATTCTGATTCTGTAATTATATTCCTGCAGTTGGATCCTAGTAGTGAAGCACTTCAGTCAGGTTCAGTTTAATAGTCAAATTTATTTTCAAAAATTGTCTTTAAAATATATATTGTGGAGAATCACAACACATTCTAGGATCAGGAGGATTACGGCTGTAATAACTAATGGATTTAACCATAACTATAGAAATTATCTTCAGCTAATATGGTGGATAAATTAAATAACCAACTAGATTATTTCAAAACATGACATCTGCTGAAAGAGAATCCCATTCTAACTAGTAAAGAAGCCAAAACCGTACCAACAATATAAACATTTTCACCTGGGTTTGCAAAACTTCTGTAAATATTGTCTATCCAAGAATCTTTAAATGGCATGGTTTTAGCTTCACCTGGTTAACTTAATAAAAAAAAGTCCCATTAAACACCTTTTGCTATGTGATTGTTAAGTCTTTAATTGTCGTTAACAAAGCAAAATAAGTGTTAGTATCTATACATACCTGTATAAATGGGAAAAATAATGGAACTGCAATAATTAAGCATTGGATTTAGTATCTTTAATGTCCATCCATCCATCCATCCATCCATCCATCCATCCATCCATCCATCCATCCATCCATCCATCCATCCATCCATCCATCCATCCATCCATCCATCCATCCATCCATCCATCCATCCATCCATCCATCCATCCATCCATCAAAGGTCTTACTTGTCCTATCTGAGGTTAAACTAAATCATCCAACAACAAGAAATAGCCTGGACAAAGGGCCTTCTCATATTGCTTGAAGCATTCTGGGATAAATATCTAGCTTGAGCAATTTGAAAAGGAATTAAAGTTATGTAGTGATAATAATTGTCTCTTGAAGGACTGAAGAACTTTTTAATTCTAATGTGTTTGGTTAAGCCCATTTATAAAAATTCTCAATTTTAACTTAACGCCTTTAGGAAGAAGCACATTCAGTTTGTTTCAGTCAGTGAAGACATGAACTATGATCATGCTGTTAGTGAGGTTAGAGGTCAAAGTGTGAATCAGTGCCTGTATCTCCCTGTTATTACAGCTTGGTGGTTACAGCTCAAAAAGAGATGTTGCATAACTGGAGTAAATGACTGTGAAATGTAACTCTGTGATCCCTACTTGTGTTTCAGCTTATCCTGATAACACCAGTGAAGAACCATTAACCAGCCATTATCCAGAAATGACAGCAACATCAGGTTTGACAATTATCTCTGTTTTATTCCCGCCACCCCACAGAAGAGCACAGATACATTCTGATTCTGTAATTATATTCCTGCAGTTGGATCCTAGTAGTGAAGCACTTCAGTCAGGTTCAGTTTAATAGTCAAATTTATTTTCAAAAATTGTCTTTAAAATATATATTGTGGAGAATCACAACACATTCTAGGATCAGGAGGATTATGGCTGTAATAACTAATGGAATTAACCATAACTATAGAAATTATCTTCAGCTAATATGGTGGTAAAATTAAATCACCAACTAGATTATTTTAAAACATGACATCTGCTGAAAGAGAATCCCATTCTAACTAGCAAAGAAGCCAAAACCGTACCAACAATATAAACATTTTCACCTGGGTTTGCAAAACTTCTGTAAATATTGTCTATCCAAGAATCTTTAAATGGCATAGTTTTAGCTTCACCTGGTTAACTTAATAAAAAAAAGTCCCATTAAACACCTTTTGCTATGTGATTGTTAAGTCTTTAATTGTCGTCAACAAAGCAAAATAAGTGTTAGTATCTATACATACCTGTATAAATGGGAAAAATAATGGAACTGCAATAATTAAGCATTGGATTTAGTATCTTTAATGTCCATCCATCCATCCATCCATCCATCCATCCATCCATCCATCCATCCATCCATCCATCCATCCATCCATCCATCCATCCATCCATCCATCCATCCATCCATCCATCCATCCATCCATCCATCCATCCATCCATCCATCCAAGGTCTCACTTGGCCCATCTGAGGTTAGAGATCATGATCCAACAACAAGCAAGAGTCTGGAAGAAGGGCCCTCTCATATTTACTTAAAACTCTTTGGGGCAAATATCTAGCTTGAGCAATTTGAAAATTGAGCAACAACACCACATTCGAGCGGGCGCAGTGAGGATCGGGGTCTTCTCACACCCCTGTTCTCCGGCTGCCGCCTGGAGTCTGGGGCCTGGAGGAAGAGCGGGCCACCTGGTCCGTGGTTTTGGCTGGGGCTGGCTGCGGGGCCTAGGTGGCCTGCTGGTGGCGGGGCTGTCACCTCTGCTCTCCCCAAAGAAGGTTGGATGGAGGGGCATGAAGTGCCTGGTTGAAGGTTTTTTTTTTTTTTTTTTTTTTTTTTTTTTTTTGTTCTTTTCGGGGGGGGGGGGGGGGGGGGGGGCGGTTCTGGTTGGGTGGCCGGCGGGGGATGGGTGGGCCCCGGTCCCGGGGGGGGCTCTTGCGGGGGGTGGTCCGGTCCGTGTGCGGGGTGGGGGGCCGGGCTTGAAGCAGGAAAGAGATGGGTTGGTGTGGCGGTGTCGCCGCTCCCCTCCCCTCACATCCGGATTTTAGGTTCACTTATGGGGTCATCCGATAGTCCCGGGACCGACCACCGTTGTCACCGGGTTTTTGGTCCTGGTATTATTGGATGTGAGTGTTATGTGTGAATGTGTGTCTGCGTTGTTATTTTCTTTATTTATTATTATTATTATTTTATTCAATTTTTTATTTTTTTTTTATTTTTTTTTTTTTCCTGTGGTACGAGTGGGGGCACTAGGGAGGGAAGGCATGATTGAGATGGTGTGTTTTTTTTTTTTTTTTTTTTTTTTTTTTTTTTTCTTTCCCAGGTTGGGGTCTCAACCGCACCCTCTCCCAAATACATCTCAAGTCTCCGCTAAGTGCGGAGCCCATTCCCCCCGTCCTGCTCTCCCTCTGCTGGCTGGCGTCGGGGCTCACCGGTGCACTGGTGGAGCTGGGGGTGGATGCCCGGGGGACTGCTGGCTCATTCCTGGCGGCCTCTCCACTGGCCCCGGCCGGCCGGGGCTTTGCTGGGGCTCCTGTCTGGGGGTGGGGTGCCCTTGGGGCCTCGGATCCCTGGGGCCTGGGACTGGATCCGCTTCGGGGTGGGGCTGGGTGTTGTTCGGGGATTTTCGGGGTCGGTGCCGGTGCCTTCGCTACGATGCCGGTTCCTGGGCGGTGTTTCTTTCCTGTGCCGGTTCTGTGGTATCGGTTCGGGGAGGGGGGGAGCTGCGCGGCATGGTGGGGTGCGGGTCTTGGGTCCTGTTTTGGGCTCCGGTTTTTCCGCTCGCACTTCTCCTCTTGCCTATTTATTTTAATTGTAATTATTAATTAATTTATTTATTTACCTATTTATTTGTTATTTATTTTTTTTTTTTTCTCTTCCTCGGTGGGGGGGAGCGGTTGCGGGCGGGTCGGTGTCTGGTGTCCGCTGTCGCATTGTGGGGGCCCCTTTTTTTTTTTTTTTTTTTTTTTCTCTTTTTTTCTTTGGGGGGTTTGGCATGTCTGTTTTCTCGGGGGGCAGGCGGGCCTGCTGGGTGGGGGTCCTGCTGGCGGCGCGCCGCTGGTGTGTGGGGGTCCGGGCGGCTCCGGCGGGGGTAGTGTTGGGGGGCCGGTCTGGGCGGGCTGGCTGCGCTGGCTGGGTATTCGGGTGGGTTTTCCCTCCTGGAGGCATGGCGGGGCTGCTCTGTTCCCACTGATCGCTGCGGGTGGGGCTGCGGGGCGGGGTGGGGGCCTGGGGTGGCTATGACCGGCGCGTGGTGGGGGGCCGGGGCGGCGGAGCTGCTCTGGCCGCGTGTCGGGGCCTGGTGCGGGCTGCGGGGGGGGGGTGGCGGACGTGGCTGGGCTGCTTTGGCATCGTCCGGTGGGGGGGCGGCGCGGTTCGCTCCGCTCTGGCTTTGTGCTGCCCCTCGGGCTGCTGGGGGGGGTGGTTGCGCCGGCTGCGGTCTGCTCCTCTTGCGGTTTTGCGCCGGGCGGCTTTTCTGCTCTCGGGCTGATTCTGTGCGCGGTGTGTTTCGTTGCGCGCTGTTGGCATCGGTCTTGGTGGGGTGGGGCTGCGCTTTTGGCCGGGGGGGGCGTTTTGGGGGGGGTCCCGCGGCGCTCGTGGCCGGTTCGCGGCGGATGCGCATGGGCCCCGGCCGGGGGCGGGGCCGCCTTAGTGTTTTCCTTGGTGGTGCGGTCGCGGTGGGTGTTGCGGCCGGTCGCCGGGGCTTGGTGCGGGGGGGCGGGGCGTGTTTCGGTGCTCTGTGGGGCTGGGGCGTTTCGGTTGGCGCCGTGGGGGGGCTGGTGTTCGGCGCCCGGCCCTACTTCGGGGTGGCCGGCTGCCGGCGGGGCCCGCGGACTCGTCCCCGCGGCTCCCCGGGGCGCCGGCATGGCGGCGGCTGGGGGGCTTCCTCGTGGCTGTCTCTCCTCCTGCCTTGGTGGGGTCTGATTTCCGGGGCTGGCCCCGCCTTGGTGCCTTCGCTTCTGGGGTCCCCTTGGGCGCCTGGGGCTTTGGGTCTCCCGGCGCTGGACTCAGTGCTCTGGGGGGTGTGCCTCTCCGGCTCTCCACAACCACTATTGAGCATTTTTTTCTATGGTTAAAACTTTACATGCACAAGTTCACCCTCACAAACAACTACAGGTACTAGGCTTCAGGTACTTAGAGATTCACTTCCAAACAGAAACCCCACATTCATATCTTCAGGTAACACAGAGTACATGTCAGACTTAATAATATTACTTTAGTGATAGTTTCAAGGTGTTTGCTTTATTGTATATCTCGTACCATGTTTTTTGGTTGTGCTGTTCTTTTTTTTTTTTTTTTTTTTTCTCCATCTCATTACAGGTGTTGAAGCAGACTGAAAATGTTTTGTCATTGTCTCCTTCCTATCTCCTCTTTCTTTCATCTTTTGTCCTGTTTTTTTCTTTTTCTTTTTCCTTCTTCTTCTTCTGTTTTTCTGCTCTACTTACATTGCAGTGTCCATATGAACTGTAAAACTCCCTGCATAATTATAATAAAGCAATTTATATACATGAAACAAGTGGAGCGGTATGGCAATTGCGATACCGCTACACTTGTGAAAGTAAAATCTGTTGGGCTCCTTTTGGCATCAAGACAATTATTCTTATTGCCACCTTGCCAGACAGGACACTGTAAAAAAAAAAAAAAAAAAAAAAAAAAAAAAAAAAAAAGAAAAAGAATTAACGTTATGTGGTTATAATAGTTTTCTGTTGAAGAAAATGATGTAAAAGAAAAACTATTTGCTTAATAATTATGCAGGGAGTTAAGCTCATTTATAAACATTCTAAATTTAAATCACTATCATCAGGAAAGTAGCAGATAATTTTTTTTTTTCCTCTCAGTGGAGACCTGGACTTGGATCCTGCTGTTAGTGAGGCTACAGGTCAAAGTGTGAATCAGCGCCTGTATCTCCCTGTTATTACAGCTTGGTGGTTACAACTGAAAAAGAGATACTGCATAACTGGAGTAAATGACTGTGAAATGTAACTCTGTCATCCCTACTTGTGTTTCAGTTTATCCTGATAACACCAGTGAAGAACCAGAAACCAGCCATTATCCAGAAATGACAACATCAGGTTTGACAATTTATCTCTGTTGTATTTTCACCACACCACAGAAGAGCACAGATTCATTCTGATTCTGTGATGAAATTCATAAAGTTTGATCCTAGTAATAAAACAGTTCAGTCAAGTTCAGTTTAACAATCAAATTAATAAAAAGTTGTCTGTGAAAACATTCATTGTGGAGAATCACAACACATTCTAGGACCAGAATGGATTAGGACTGTGATAACGAATGGGATTAACCATAACTATTGAAATATTCAGCAGGTAATGTGGTGATTAACTTAAATCATTAACTGGATTATTTAAAAACATGACACCTCCTGAAAGAGCATCCCATTCCAGGACATTACAACTTTTGTTAATGCTTTTTTGTATTATGTAAACTGTTTTTATATTGTCTGTTGTCGTTTTATCTTTAATGGCATCTTAATTCATCTCTTCCCTTTTTTACTTTATATAAGCTACTGGAACCAGAATTTCCCTGAAGGAGTAATCCCAAGGGAAAAGTAAAGTTGAGTCTAATTCTAAGTCATTTGAGCAGTCAATAGGCCAAATCTGTACCAATATATAAATATTTCTTTAATCCTAAACTATTAAATACTAATGTGTTGAGTTAAGCCCATTTATAACAATTGTAAATTTTAATTCAACACCATCAGGAAATTAACACGTTCTTTTTTTTTTATAGTCCGTGGAGACTTGAACGTACATATTGCAGTTAGGGAGGCTACATGTCAAATTATGTTTTTGCCTTATTTTTTTCACTTGGTTCACCTCTTCTTTCTCCTTACTCAGCTCAACTTTCATGCCAATACAACTGTGGAAATGATATGGGAAGCTGCTCCTGCTCCTACTCATGTGGATGGAATGGAAATTGTTGCCCTGACTATGGCTGTAAGTGCAAAATCTGCACAGTCAATCATTTCTGCATCCATATTTAACAACTTATTGTTGAAATATATTATGATGTAAACATCCCTTTATGCTCTCATTCATGCAGCTTACTGTGGATTAACCACTGAAACAGCTGAGGAGACCACCATGGGTATGTTGTTATTTAGTTTTATAAAGAGAACTTTTAATGAGAAAGCCTTTTTGATTTTGTTTATGTTTATCATACAGGGACAGAATAATGGTAATATGACGATTGACAAAAATGCACCATGGTGTTTGCCTGTAGCTTGTAATATTGGGTTAGTGTTGTTGCTTTTATATTAGAGAGACAGAAAATAAAAAAATAAAAAAAAACAAAACAAACATTAACTTATAAAGCAAATCATTCAATTTCATCCAAATATTTAAACACTGTCCAATTAAATTTGAAAACCTGATATTTTTTGAAGAAGTGTTTCAACACTGAAATTTAAACATAGCAAAAACAGATGAACAGATAAATAAAAAAAATACAATTAATCTTCACTTGCATCTAATTTTTCCATACTCGCTATATAACGATAGATATGTGCCTGTTTGGAGCCTGAGGTTATTAAAGGCATCAAATATTACTGTAGAGGTTGGACATTATACAAAAAGATTTTTCAATAATAGAAAAATTGATTTATTGATTAACTTTTAGTTATTAGAAACAACAGGCTTGTTTAAACAGTTAGATTTAAGAACAGCAAGTAATGATGAAATAATCATTTCTTTCCTTTCTTTAACTTTCTAATTGGTCACCGCTCAACCATCATGTCGATATTATTTTATAAGATTTAGAACATACGTTTCTTCTTTACGACATATATTTGTGATGTCAGGAACTTGATAAGTGAGCACTATTTAGTGTAAACAAAACCTTAGACAAAACCTCAGTCTTAACCTGTTTCTCTCATTTAAACATTTTCATCAGTACAACTATGGTAACCCTCTGCGAGCTGAGTTTACCTCTCCCTCTCAATAGGGAACATTAACTTAAACACCCTGTGTGTTCCAGCTCCACCATCATGCCGCCACAACTGTGGAATCAACCTGGGAATCTGTTCCTGCTCCAGCTCCTGCCAATACAATGGAAACTGCTGTTATGACTTCTACTGTAAGTGCAACCTGAACAGATTATTTGTTGATAATGCAAATTAAAGCTCTTATAAACACTGCTGTGAAATAATAGTAATAACTCTTATCTCTCTCTTATGCAGCCTACTGTGATTACACCACCAACTATCCTACCACATGTAAGACCATCTTTCCAGAGCTTTCAACACGAAAACATCAATGAATGTTTTCAGATCTGTATACATTGCAATAATCTGAAATTAAAACAAATAGACAACTTTATAATAGCTTGGAACGGTACCCATGGCTCTTAAAGCTTCAAGCATATGAAAACATGTTTTCATCTCTCCTTTCAGTCTATTGAACAAAACTTGCAGGGCTAGCTGCCTTGAAATGTCTTTAATTACTGAAAAGAGTCCACCTCTATTTTAATCTGATTATTTATTCCAGTCTTTCCCTGAAGGCTTCAGTTATGTGTTTGATGACATCAGAGAACTACAGTATCTTGAAAGTCGGAAAATGAATGAGCAGACCTGAGCCAAGAAAATATACTTGGAAACTCTTGAGAAATGCTGAGGGACTCCTTCTAGTCTCACTAAACAGTAGATGTTACAAATAGAATTGGCTAAAAGTTAAGTCTCTACATGAAAAAAGATTTTAGACATACCCTAAAACACTGCAGCTGCTTCAGTAGTAATAATTATGCATTTTAACACTTTCTTTTACATCTTTCTCTACAAATGATAAAATATTAAAAACTCCTTTGCCTTGTTTTATCATGTAAAGTTACCATGAAACCCATTATTTTGGATTGGGTATTTTTCACTATTCTACTTATAAAATACTGCTGGAAAAGTTAAACATTTTTATGTGTTTTCTTCTTGTTAGGGTTACACAAATACATATCATGGTGTCTAATGCAAATATCTAAGTTGAGAAACTCGAAAAGGAATTAAAGTTAAATAGTTACAATATGTGTAAGAAAAAATAATGTAAGGTCTCACTTGTCCCATCTGAGGTTAGAGATCATGATCAACAACAAGGAAGAGTCTGGAAGAAGGGCCCTCTCATATTTACTTAAAACTTTTTGGGGCAAATATCTAGCTTGAGCAATTTGAAAAAGAACTCAAGTTATGTGGTTATAATACTTTTCTGTTGAAGTTTATGATGTAAAAGGAAAATTATTTGCTTAATACTTATGCAGTGAGTTAAGCTCATTTGTAAACATTCTAAATTTAAATCACCATCATCAAGAAAGTAACAATTTCAGTTTTTCCTCTCAGTGGAGACCTGGACTTTGATCCTGCTTTTAGTGAGGCTACAGGTCAAAGTGTGAATCAGTGCCTGTATCTCCCTGTTATTACAGCTTGGTGGTTACAGCTCAAAAAGAGATGTTGCATAACTGGAGTAAATGACTGTGAAATGTAACTCTGTGATCCCTACTTGTGTTTCAGCTTATCCTGATAACACCAGTGAAGAACCATTAACCAGCCATTATCCAGAAATGACAGCAACATCAGGTTTGACAATTATCTCTGTTTTATTCCCACCACCCCACAGAAGAGCACAGATACATTCTGATTCTGTAATTATATTTAATCAGTTTGATCCTAATAGTGAAGCACTTCAGTCAAGTTCAGTTTAAAAATCAAATGAATAAAAAATTGTCTTTGAAAACATGAATTGTGGAGAATCACAACATTATTTCAAAACATGACACTTCCTTATAGAACATCAATTTTGGAGTGGTAAATAACTTAAACTTTACCAAAAATGTAAGCATTTTATTCTATCTGGGATTAAAAATGTTTTGCATATATCGCCTATTCAATAATCTTCATGTGTCATGTGCTTAACTTTCATTAAAAAAAACAACCCTCCTATTAAACACCATTTGCTCTCTGATTGTTAAGCTGTTAATAGTTGTCGAAAAAAAGCAACATAATTGTGTGTATCTATACATACCTGTATAAATGGGACTATATTAATGAATCTGCAATAATATTAGCATTGAAACCATCCATCCATCCATCCATCCATCCATCCATCCATCCATCCATCCATCCATCCATCCATCCATCCATCCATCCATCCATCCATCCATCCATCCATCCATCCATCCATCCATCCATCCATCCATCCATCCATCCATCCAACAACAACAACATTCTGAGGCAAATATCTAAGAAATTAAAGTTATGAAGTCTGCATAATTGGAGTAAATGACTGAAATGTAACTCTGTCATCCCTACTTTGTGTTTCAGATTATTCTGCTAACACCAGTGAACAACCAGATTCCAGCCCTTATCCAGAAACAACCTCAACACCAGGTCTAAAAAATTACTTTAACTCTGTCTGACTAGATTTTTCTTTTTTTTAAGTAGCACGTGTTTAGGGGATTTAGAAGGCAGTTTGATCAGAGGTGTAAATTTCTTTATTTCCGCAATACCACAGAAGAACTTACAGTAGATACATCTCATTCACTCCATTGATTACATAATGTTCATCCTTGTTATAAAAAATACAGTGAAATTCAGTTTAACAATTAAATGGGTAAAAAGTTATCTTTAAAACAAAACTACAAACCAAAGTGAACAAAGATATGAAAGGACAAAATGCAACAGAGATCGGCTGCCGTGACATATTATATAGACAATATAATGAATGAAAATGATGCACTTTGGGTTTTGCATTGAGTAGAAATAGAAAATCCATTTTTTTGTTCCACAATGTTGAAATTGTGGTGTTGCAGCAGCATGACAGCAAAAGTGATCAAACAAATGAGGACCTTAAAGTAAAATACTGTAATGTACAGTTTTGCAAATATAAACACAGTGCAATCGCCCAGAGAAGAAATAATCAAAATACGGCTGTGGATATTTTTACAGTAGTGGAAATGGGTAAATAGCCGCAATGCCAGAGATGTGCAAAATGACAGCAGCATATTATTTAAGTGACAACAACTGTGCTAAAATCAGCATGGATGTAGCAACTTATTGAGGTTCTTGGGAAAAGTGATGGTTATAAAAGCTTAGAGCTGTCGGAAGGAAGGACCTGTGATAACGCTCCCTGGTGCATTTAGGGTGCAGCAGTCTGTCACTGAAGGAGCTCTCTAGTTCTGCAACAGCTTCATGCTTGGGGTGGGATAAATTATGCAACAGAGATGTTATTTTAGTTAGGGTCATTTTGTTTCCCACGTCCTGCAGTGAGTCCAGAGGGTATCAAATCACAGAGCTGGCCTTCCTGATCAGCTTATCCAGCTGTCTTCTCTCAGCTACAGCCACTGCTCCAACACACAGCTCGATAGAAGATGGCTGATGTCACAGCAGAGTTCTAGTAGGTCTTTGGGAGCGCCCCCTGCACTCCCAAAGACCTTAGTCTCATTAGCAGAAAGAGTCTGCTCTGACTGTTCTTACAGAATCTGTGTGTTGTGAGTCCAGTGTAGTTTGTTGTTCAGGTGAATGCTCAGGTACCTACAAGTGTCCACTATCTCAATGTCCCATCCCTGGATGTTCCCTGGTATAATTGGGGTGGATCTGCTTCTGCAAAAGTCTAACACCAGTTCCTTGGGTTTTCCCTGCATCAATAAGGTGGTTCTGCTGGTACCAGTCCATGAAGTCCTAAGTTCACTGTCTGTACTCTCAGTCATTCCCACCTGTGATGAGGCCCACTATACCAGAATTGTCAGAGAACTTCTTGAGGTGGCAGCATGGGGAGTTTTATGGAGAAGTCTTCAGTGTAGATGGTAAAGAGGAATGTTGTAAGCACTGTTTATCTGAGACACAGCCCTGTGCCCTCACATACTGTGGGCAGCAATTGAGGTAGTCCGGAATCCACTTGGACATTTGCTGGTCCACTCCTGACAGTTCAAGCTTGTCCCTTTAAAGTCCTGGCTGTAGATGTTGAAAGCACTGGTGAAATCAAAGAACATTATCCTCAGAATGCTTCCAGGTAGCTCGAGGCGAGTTAGAGATTTATGCAGGAGGAATTAAGTCTTCACCAGGGGGCGTAGATGGTGTGAAGTCAGCGATACTAGCCTGTAGGTGCGGAGGTTCTTATTTTGGCCTGAGATGGTCTTCAGGCTCGTCCAGACCCTTGTAATGTTGTTCTGCTCCATCTTATCCTCTCTCTCCTTCTTATAGCTATTCTTCCTATCTGTGATTTTCTACCTCAGTTCTTACTGTACTGCTCTCATCTCCTCCTTGTTCCCTAATCTAAAGGATCTCCTCTTTTCTTTCAGAAGGGCCTTTATCTCGGAGTTGATCCATGGTTTGTTGTTGGGGAAGTGACAAATCTTTTTGAGAGACACAGAAGTTGCAATGCGTGATACTTTTGATGTGCTGTTGATTAGGAGCACAGAGCCCTTCCCACATAAAAAAATGTAAAATTAGGCTTAGAGTGGTAGCTTTTAGAGAAAAACGACAGAAAAAAAATTGATAAAAATAAACGCAAAACATAAACATAAAAATGAAATAATTCAAATTGATCCTAATATTTAAAGAACACTGTCCATGTCAACTGTTTATGACCTCAGATGCGTGGATTTTGAAGCTGGAGATTATTAGTAGGAGCTACTAAGGAATTGTTTGAATCATACTTTCTGTGCTGAGCAGTCGTGTCCAAGAGAAAATATTTGGAAAGCTCCCTCTGTACAGTAATTCTATAAAATATTGATGAAAGAGGGCAGAATACATAAGGATATCACACTTTCTTTTCTTTCCCTTCTTTCTGGACAAATATTATGCACTGCTGTATATCATTTTAAGTTACAATGAAACACATTTTCATTATTAAATTACAATGACATTTTTAAGTTACATTGAGTTAAGTTACAATGAAACATTTTTGTGATTGGTTCATAAAGATAAAGTGAACAAAAATTACATTATTTGATTATTTTACAGGATTCTACTTATAACAGACTATTGGAAAAGCCAACATGACACATATTGTGGGATTAACTAAATATTCTGACCTGTGTCACAGCTCTGCCTTCTTGCCGTTACAACTGTGGAAGCCATCTTTTGAATTGCTCCTGTTCCTACTCATGTGAACTAAATGGAAACTGCTGCCATGATTATGATGGTAAGAGAAATGAACTGAAGGATCAACCGATTCTAGATCTATATTAAAACATTTATTAATGGCTATTTTCTAATTTTATCCATATAAATAAAATATGACATTTTTCTAATTCCTGCAGATCAATGTGGATCATCCTCTTCTGTTCCAGGTATGATAATCCCATCATTTTTGTAGATTTATTTTACAGTAAAAAACTGACAAAAAATTTTGATGACTGAAAAAAAGAAATACCTCTCCAATTCATTCTTAATAATATTAGAGAAAAAGAAAAATGAACAAAGAATTAGACTGGGAATAGATATCTATTAAAGTCAGCTTATACAATGCTGCTTCACAACAAACATAATGTCAATGTATTTAAGCAGGCAAACAGATCCAGTTTATATACTTATGTAAAAAAAGTATTTTTAATTCATCTGTATAGTCCCTTATATATTACCATTTCAATTGTGGTTATAAAGCCGTTATGCTGGTTTACGAAATGTTGGTTTCATTGTTTCTCTTTTCATTAGTAACCTGTGGTGGGCACCTGTATGGACCCTTTGGAGGCTTTCAAAGCCCTAAATATCCAAGCAACTATCCAAACAATGCTAACTGTACTTGGTACATTAGATCTTCTCATCAGTTTATTCAACTGAAGTTTTATGATCTAGAGTAAGTGAATGTTCTGAATATGTAAAATGTGCTGCTTCTTTCATTGGATTCACTTTCATTCTAATTTGCTATAAATTTTCTTTTGTTTCAGCACAGAGTGTGGTTTTGATTGGGTTGATGTCTATGATGGCTCCAATACCAACAGTGAGAGGGTACTGCAACTCTGCAGAACCAATAGTTATTTCTACAACTCTACTGGCCCAAATGTAACGGTACACTTCAGCAGTGACCATATGGTGACTGGAAGCGGATTTACAGCTAACTACAGGGCTCTAAGTAAGATACTGTGGTTTAGGAAAATCTAGAAAAAATGGCAGATGTTGCCAGAATAACATGTTTTTTTTTTACTTTTCTCTTGAAGCTGAAGGCTCCTGCTTGAACAGCTGTGGCCACCAGTCTGGAAACTGCTCTTGCTACGCAAATTGTGAATACAAATGGACCTGCTGTAGAGATTACACAGGTAAACAGAGACATAATGTTACAAAACAATCTGTATTTAATTCAACATGTCCTGTCTGGCAGTGTGCTCAATATAGTTTTCTTAGTTCCAAATAGAAGCCCAAAAGATTTACTTTCACGGGTGGAGCATTATAGCTTTAACCATAATGTTATTCTTGATATATATTATTTTGCAAAAATAATATATATATATACAGTATATATATATATTAAACATTATTTTGAGAATATTTTTAAATGCAATAGAGAAAGAAACTGAATAAAGTAATAAGAAAGAGAGAAAATAACAGGACAAAAAATATCACGGTGTATGTCAGTGAAT